AGGTTGATTCAAAAGCTTTGTCTATTTTGATGTCATGTGTTTTTGTAGCTCCATATCTCAATAAATATATAATCTACTGTGTCAGTTTATACTGATCCATAGAGAATTTTGTACTCTATACATTGATAATGTTCATTCTCCCAAATTTCAATTTTTTGCCCGTTTTCAGCTCATAACTATATGATGTCGTTAAGCTTTTTCCCTACGAATTCAAATAAATTCGACATTGATTTGCGGAATTTTATTCTGGAGATTTCATTCGCGAAGATGAGTGTCAAAGTGGTCGGCCTACAGTAATTCAGGACGAGGATTTGAGGACCTAGGTAGAGACTGACCCGTCACAAATGGCGCATGGAATGGCGGACGAACTGTGCGTCATCTTCCGTTTGTTTTTGATGGTTTGAAACGTATTGGACAGGCCAATAAGCTCGAAAAGTGGATGCCTAAATATTCAAATGATCGACAGTAATTGTTACGTTTCGAAGTCTGTTCTTTTTTCCTTTTGCGCAACCAAAATGATCCTTTTTTTATCAGATCGTCACGTGTGATGTCTACTACAGGAGATGTTCAGGACAACAGTTGGACACTGATGAGCCACCTAACCTCTTTCTAAAGGCGAAAACCCAGCAAAAAATACCATGATTACTGTATGATTAGCCATACTCCTCAGACCTGTCGCCAACCGACTACCATCTTTTTAAGCACTTCGGAAACTTTCTCACTGGTGGAACGTTCGCCAATCAGGACCAGGCAAAAACAGCCTCAGTAGACGTCATCGAATTCCGAGCACATAATTTTAATGCTGACGAGATTATTCTACTTATGCTACGTTGGTGAAAGTGCATTTATTTAAAGGTCGCTAATTCACTGAGATATAACAGTGCCAAGTAGGCTCATATAAACGGACGAAACTTCTGAATCAAGCCAATACTTGGGACGGCTATTGAAAAATCAATCGAAAATATCACAGTTATCGTTGGCGAAAACATATATCCTAGTATTTCTCATCTGACGTGAAAGACCACTCACCGTACAAACTGATCGCCTTCGTTAAGAAGCTAGGTTTATTTTGTCGAGTGTGAATACGTGTGAACCACAATAAACCCTTGCGGGTTGCGGTGGAGGGTCGAATATACCCACTCACTTTTGACCTAACCTAACCTCTTGTATTTCTCATAGCACGCACAATCTACAACATCCATTTTGTTTCAATCAGGAAAAAAAATGTTCAAATTATGATATGCTCAACTACTAACCTGAACAAAAAAAAACACATTGTGGGAAAAAAATTCTGCCTATACGATACAACTGCAGCATATTTAGAAAAGTAATAATTTAAGTCATGATTCAAACAGCTGTATGTGTACAAATATTTCAATAACAAAATTGCTCTCGAAATGTCTTTATTGATGCTGAAATACATTTTCTACTGACAATGTACGATGCTCCAAAATCAGACCACTCAATAGATAAAAAAGATGTACTTAGAAAGTCAAAAGCATATTTCTTTAGTGTACCTATTATCAAATATACACAAACTTGGTTAGGTAGAGAAACTGATCTGGTTGTTAAAAACAGCATACCACACCCAATAACAACTTTACCACCTCTAGCATCCGAAAATCTACTCAAAACAATTTCAGAAAAGGTTGAGACTGGAAATATGTATACAAAAAATGAATTGAGATGCTCCAAAGCTTGCCATGGCAGTCGTGTTTCAACGCGGAATCAAATAATGATGTGAATATAGATTTGAATATGGAAACTAGGAAATCATAGAAACACTGTGACACTGAAGATACCGACGACGACTTCATAAGAAACAAATTCTAAATGTTTTGTATTCTTCATTTTTTTAAATGATAAATTCATAATTTGAGAGTGAAAAACCTATTGTTTTGAGCGATCCTTCTCTTATCCGGCCGTTACTATCTTTAATTATATTGAAAAAAAAATATATGAAACAGCTTTCTTCATCATCTTTTAAATAAACATTTAAAAAAATTTGCTCGAATATACAATGATCTTGAAATCGATTAACCCGAAAAAAACGTTTTTCAGAATCATTCAGAAAATCATTTTGGAACAAATATTATTTTTAAAACAAATGAAATTACTTCTAAAATAATTCTCAGTTAGATATATAATTTATCTAACTTGATGTATGCTTGATTGGGTGAAAGAATAGCTATTGTATGCTAGACTCCTCAAGTGAAATGGAGGCCATTTATGATTATAATTATCATTTTTCCATAACATGACATTATGATTGTCATTTTCGAAGCGACATAAGTAACTTGGAAAGTAAAAAGGTTTCGTTTCTTAATGCTTTGGATCGATTATTCACTCTACATAATCCCATTTTATTCAATATGTATCAATGAAATTGATCTCCAACCAATAGAGTAACATACATATTACTTGAATGTTCAATGTCTGTTTTTTGTTCATACAATTTGGGTTTCTATTGATTTTTACCATTTTGAAGAAAAGCCTATTGGGCATATTGTTTCCTGAATGTGAGACTTTTGTTACATTCAATTCCATTTTGTTTTCTGTTTCAAGAGAATATTTTTATTTAATCGTATTCACTTTTGTCGGAGATTATTTAACCCGATAAAATTCTTGAAGTTTTTCCAATATAATTCAAACTGAAATTATTACCTGGTATATGGTATATAACGTTTGATTATTTTAAATCAGATGTTTTCATTTCCAGTTGTGCTTTTTAATTTTCAGTTGTTTTGGTATGGGAAATGCAAACTACTCAATATTTTCACATACACGATTATTAGCATTATCGATGTTATCTTGTTTCTTTTTGTAGTGAAAACATATTTAGCAAGTTTCTACGAGAAGAGTTATCCATTGATATATTTTTCAACATTGGCAAAATTTTCAGTTTAAGTGTTCTAATAGTTCTATTTTTTGGGTAAAGTATCACAATAATTTTCATTATTTTCTTGAATATTCAGTAATTGAAAAAAAACAAGAATCCAATATATTGTTTCGCTGATAACAGCACACTTGCCTCATTATTTATTTTGGATTTCAGGACATCGGATACGGAGGCACATCTTCACCGGCAGCAGAAGGTTGCATATCTTAATCAGGACCTAGAAGTGATTTAGAATTGGGGTGAAAGTAACCAGATTCAATTCAATGTCACAAAAACCCTGGCATCGGCTTTCTTCGAAAAGATAAATGTTTTCGAACCGGATATAATAATGTCAGGTCAGACAATTCCGCTTTCTGCTCCGATAAGTTGGGGGTCAAAATGGACACCAATATGTCTTGGCACAATCATGTCGCTGGAATTGCAAAAACTGCTTCTCAAAAGCTTGGAACACTGTTTCGAACTAGAATACTGTACACACCTTATCAACTTTCGTTGCTTTATAAAGCTCAGATCAGACCTTCTTTGGAGTATTGTTCTCATATATGGAGCTCTGCCCCCAAACATACTCTGAGGTTGCTGGATTCCATCCAGAAAAGAGCCATCCATCTGATTGGAGACGCGAACATCACGTGCAACCAAGATAGCCTTAAACATCGAAGAAAGGTTGAAAATTTGCCTCTCTTCTATAGATACTTTCACGAGAAGTGTCCAAGTGACTTGGCACATTTGATTCCACCAAGAGCGTTACATATCAGAAATAAGCAAAGGACTGTGGCAGGAGGTTCAACTCAGTACACCTGAAACTTCACTTTTTAAGAAATCTTTCATCTGGAGAACTGCGTTTATGTAGAATAAACCACCTACGAACAATTTTCCAAATGGATTCAATCTCCAGCGATTCAAATCCAATGTGAATCGCTACTTCCGCACAGGCACTGCCCTTGAATCGCCTTAAGGATTTTTCTGTAGGGCTTGTATTTTGTCTTTGAAAAAATCGATTTCTAGTGAGAGGAACTTTTGGACCAGATCCCTACTATTACAATCTAATATTTTGTATATGTTGCACATTCCCTGGCTGGTAAGAGAAAACGATATCATTTTTTTCTTAATTTCTCGTTGATTCTCTATATTTTATTTATCCATAACTGACCAACGTTCTACTTTTGAAGCTGCAATTATATCAAGTATTCTGCATATTATCAGCCTAGGTATGGATAAAAACTCAGCTCCGCTAGTTGGTCGAAATGATGAACTATCTTTGATATTTTTTCGTTCTCCAGTTTTCTCAACTGGGTAAATGTTTGGAACTATTCATGATGATGATGATTATACCATTTTCACCATGAAATTTATTCAAGACGATCGTTTCGCTACTGAATCGCCAGTCCAACTGATGAAGCTATTCTGTAGTAAAATGTGTCATAAATGAAATTCATTGTAGAAATTTTATAATCATAATGGAAAGCGTTATTAATTTTCATCAAGGAAAGCTCCAGTATATTCATGAATGGATGATACTCGAACTCCAGGGCAAAAACTCGTTTATTTCCTAGACCACCAATATGATATTGACCAGGCGGCAACAAATGGAATATCAAACCATTGTTCATGCGGTTGAAATAAAACCAAATGATTCAATTGTTTCACAGTATTTATACTAAAATTTTAAATTTGTAGTATATCAACTGTATCACAAGTATCCAAAAGAAACAAAACATGAAACTTTCTTTTTAGTGGCATTTGTTTCTTTTTTGTCACTGAAAAACTAAAAAAACATAGAGTATGTAGAGTACAAGCAATTTTTGAAATGAATATCGCACCAAACATTTACTAGACTCTTTGCTTTTGCTCTTTCTTCTCAACATATATTAAAAATATATTGATGAAGAACTGTTTTCCTGAAAAATTACCTTATAAAATTATTTTTACTACGAATAGTAGAAAAGAAAATACAGTCAGTAATACTGGTAATCAAATACGTGACAATATTGAGTAAGCATTACTCATTCAGAGTAGGTTGATTTTTGAATATTTACGAAATTTTTTGTTGAGTATAATTTTAAACGCCGGAGCTTGTTATTTCAGTTCATACATTCCATACCTTTAACTCCTTTTTCTCCAGGTTCTCCTTTGAGCCCTGGTGCCCCCGGAATGATCCCGGTTGTGTCTCCTGCTAAGCCCGATGCAATAGACACTCCTGGAATTCCGGCAGGACCAGGAGCACCTGAACTCCCCTTTTCTCCCGTAGCCCCTTTTTCGCCATTTCTTCCCGGGTTTCCAGGTATTCCATCTAATCCTGGTGAGCCTGTCTCTCCTTTAGATCCTTGGGATCCTTTTTCTCCAGGAAGGCCTCTGTCCCCTCTGTCTCCCTTTGGTCCAGTGTCACCTGAGGATCCTTTGGGTCCGGTAGATCCCCGTTCTCCTTGAAGACCTGGTGGACCTGGCTTGCCTACATCACCTTTGGGTCCGGGTACTCCAGGGCGAACCATTGCACTTCCCAGAACAGCTTCCTGTCAGAAATCGTGAATAATATTCAACATGAGATATTATAGTGGAAACAAGATTTCTATATATTATGTGAAAATTCATGATCACACAAATACAAAATGAATAAGTCATCAAGCACACATATTATTTCATATATTATATCATAGTCTATCATCAAACGTTGTAAAAATGTTCATTTAACTTATTGTTTATAAAATACTCTTTTGTGAATGTACGATTTTTAGGTTTTGACCAGTTTGAAATTTTCATTACCTTGATTTCATGTTTATTGCCTGAATATTTCACAAATTTTTGGGTTTTACAGTTTTTCAATAATAGTAGAATAAGTAACTATCAAGTCTTATAGGCATGCAATTTCTTTATCGAGGATTGTGGAATTGGCCGCGGTGGTTGTGCACCCGACTCACGATCGGAAGAACGTGGGTTCGATTCCTGCCTCGACCAGATATTTTTCACGAGAGAATTTATCTGGTTGAATCTGAGATGATTCTGCAATCGTGTTAGGAATCACACGTTAAAAGGTAAGACCTCATTGGTCCTTAGCTCGCACAAGATTCTCAACTTCTGAGAGTTGTCGTTCGTATGGGGGCGACAGCTGATTAGCGGAAAAACAGATTTTAAACAGATTTCAAACAGACAGATTCGCGCGATATCATTCGTATGTGCAAGATATACCGGGTGTCCCACATTTTATGTGACAGGCAATATCTGGTTTGTTGAAGGAGATACACAAAAATGTTTCATACAAAAAGTTTTAGGAGTTCATGAGAGCTATATTTTGATATAATTTTAAAATAGAACGCCCTGTATATCATTACATATTCAGATGCTACGTTATCCACAAATATTAATAGGAAACAAATCCACATGTTTCTGGAAATGATAAAATTAAGGGAGCGTAATGCAGTCTCAAGTTGCTGAAAAATATTTTCATGAAATTCAAAATATGGAGATGAGAACTATCCTGATCATATCCGATTTGATTTCAATTCAAGAGCCATCGGTAGACCATATGAGGCCATTATCTTGAAAAGAAGATCGAATCACTCATCAAAAACTGCATCATTTCTACTCACAAAAAAAATCTCTCATTCCTAAAGATAATTCTTCTCGTACATCTCATATATACGGTTTACCAAAAGTACACAAACAAAACATTTCACTTCGTCCCATCGTTAGTGTTTTCTGATCACCACAAACGCCCTTGCCAAACACTTTGATAATAATCTCCAACAACTAGGCGAACAGTTCGTATCATATTCCGAAAATTCCAATCACTTCATTAAAATACTAAAACATTCAACAAACAGACATTCTTGAAAAGGAATACAGACATTCTAGTATCCCTTGTCACGAATATCTCTCACTATCCGAAAACTCATCTGTTCTCAAAACGAAACAACAAATTTCCCAAGACAGTGTCAGCCCCAACAGTAACTGCATGTCAAGCATCTTTCCCAGGGCAAATTTCACAAACAATTGAAACGCACCCCAATGGAGTTTCCACTCTCTTCTTCGCTTGCAGACCTTTACATGAAAGATTTTCAAACCAGAGCTATTGACATGATCTCAAGTCAACGTGTTGGCTTCGATACGTAGAAGACGTCTTTGTTATAAGGCCTTGTTATAAGTTTCCATATATTCCTACACCACATCAACTCCTTACATTCTAACTTTCATTCCTGGACGTTTTCATCAAAAAATCCAATTATTCCACACACTGTTCACCGAAAACCAACCCTTACCAATCGCTTTGTCAATGCTCACCGAGAGCCATAATAAATCCAGGAAACTGGTCGAACTCAAGTTCGCCTATCGCCAACACAACTATCCCGAATCCCAAATCCAAAGATCCATCCAACTTCAGCAAACCCGTACCCCACATCCCAGATAATCCGATGGATAGACGGATCACTCAAAAGATTTTCTTCCTTATGATCATGGAGTTCCGTATTAGGAACCACATGTTAAAAGGTGAAACCTCGTTAATCCTTAGCTCGCACAATTTCTGACTTCTGAGGGTTGTCGTTCGTAGGGGTGCGATAGCTTGGAAAAACAGATTTTTTTCAAACAGTTACCCACAAAGTGAGCCGAATTCTGAAGGGGCACGATATAAAAACAGTATTCACAGCCAACAATCAATTTTCAACTTTTCTACGAACACCTGAGACACGATACCCAATGAGGCACAGATTATATACAAAATATCATGTTCCACCATGTTCCAGATCCAATCTATTCCCTCTTCAAACATCATCGTGAGATAGACCACACAATAAGATTCGATAACACCAAAATCATTGCCAACGAAAACATTCTCCAGGCCAGGATGGTCCGCGAAGCAGTTGAAATTTGGAAAATGATCAACTGTCTCAACAAACGAGATGATTCAGAACTCTACCCACGCTTTCACAACCGGTTCGTTCCTCCACACGTACAGGGACATAATAACCAGACCAGAGTCTGTGGACCCACAGTCGAAGCTTGAGAGTAGGCAGACTGAGATCCTAGCAGAAACCAGTGACGAAATCTGGTAAGTAGACCGAATAAGACAACTGCGTCAGGTCACAAAATCTTTAGAGCATGTTACTTCATTACTTTACGATATACCGTATGACCTAGTGATCAACACATCGAGAAATGCGAGCTGATTACCCTCTTCAACTTCTTTCGTGAATTCGATCCGTTGATGGATTTCATTAGAGTGATTGGAAAATTTTGTTCTTAGTGTCAATGTGACCAAATCGTGAAAAAGGCATTGCTACAGTTGCTACAGTGGCAACGTCAGCACCAATGTTGAACAGAGAATTGAATTACCTATCCGTTGATATTTTGTCTTGTTCAAAAAATGAGTTGAAATGATACTCACATAATAGTTCAATAATACTCACTTTGAAAGGTCCTCTGGGTTTCCAGCTGGGCTATTTTGTAAAAATATACAAACCACTATTTGAATTCGCATTTATTTTTGAAAATCATTGCCTGGAGTCAAGATGAATAATGAAGAATCTTCAAAATATGATTTATAGTTGAACATGATTATTCATACCTAGTAACCTCTAGCGAGTCTTCAAAAGGGAACATTTGTGGACAGAACACTCAAAAATTGGGGCAAACCGCGGACACGTGTTTCTGGCTATTGGCCTCATCAGCGCGTTGCAGCCAATTGCAAAGATGGACAAAAACTGGTTATACCAAAAATGAAAAACTTCACATATGCACGGTGTCACCAACAGGAGCTAACCGCACATTTGTGGGTTCAATTAGAAGACCTAGCATTCCCCGACTGCAACCCCAAAATACTGTTATTTGTATAATATATAGATATATATCTGAAAAATTTGTATAATGGTAATTCACTATAAAAAATTATTAATATGACAGGTCACAACTTACTGTAAGTGAGGGTGGCCGTGTCGAAAAGAATGTTACATTTGAATAATTGAAATATATAAATACAATATACAAGTCACCAATTAGAAGAGGTTGACTTCTCGCAGGATACAAAAAAGAATATTACATTAAAATTTACTAAAAATCGTTTCAAAATTATGGATTACCGGTAAAAGCCATGAGGTTGAAAAACAAAGAGAGATACACAAAACAATTGACAATGTCAGCTGTCATGGACAGCTGACATTTGGAAAAGGTGTGTTTGTTCGTAGATGATAAACCATGGAACAAAAGAGAACTATTTTGATGCAAGTGTGATCAGAGACATCTGCTGTTCTGTAAGTAACTCAACGAGAAATTTTTTCAGAAATCTAACAAAGAAACTAACTCTGTTGCCTCAAACACAGGACGGTATTTCGAAACTTGTTGAATATCGATGATTCTTCATTATTCAGTCTTCTTAAAATGAAAAAAATAGATAACTCACATCTATATTTTCGAATTCCACAGGCCCCGGAGGTCCAGGGAGTCCAGGAGGTCCTGGTGGACCAGGAGCTCCATCACGCCCCGGTTCTCCTCTCATCCCTTGATGTCCCATCAACCCAGAAGATCCTCGTTCTCCCCTTTCTCCCTTTTCTCCTTTAGGTCCAGAAGGGCCTCTTTCTCCCGGAGGTCCTGGGAGGCCGGTCAGCCCTGGTGGTCCTGTTTTTTCTTTAACGATGTCAACGGGAGTGTGAGACTGAGAACTTAGGGTAGCAAGTATTGAAGTAATGTTACAGGAACATACAGCCTAGGAGGAAAGATAATCAAAATGGAATGAATATATATTCCTTGAATAAAATTATTGATAATACAAATATATATGATGAAATTGTAACTAATTAATGTCGGTTTGTCTGTTGATCTGTCTATCTGTATGTTCGTGTGTGTTGATATAGAAAACTACTCAACTATTATCACATATCTATTGTAATCATTTTAAGCTAAAATTTAGTGTCAAATTCATTAAAATCAATTCATTAGTCACAGAGTTATGTTGAGTCAAAAACTCATGTCAAATATTTGTAGGAAAGATACTATAAGAATACTATTTAATTGATTTAGCTGAAATTTTAGTTAACTTATATATAGTCTGCTGAACGATTTTCTCATCAATCAAAGATTGGCAAATACATAAAAACTTTTTGCTATATAAAATGCATGTAAATAGTTGGTTAATCATTCACGAGGAGGTTTTTTTCTCATTTCAGATGTTGATAACTTTAATTGAATTTGAATTTTCTACTTTATTGAGAATCAGATATATAGATATACTCTACTCATTTGAATATTATTAAAAATTGGTTCAATTTTGGTTCCACATTGGTTCCAAATTGGTTCCACATTTGTGAAATCAAGTTGGAAGATGATATCTTTTTTCAATGTTTTCAACTTCCCCAAATTCAAAATTGTCAAATGCTCTCTTACAACTCTTACAACAAAGGTTACACACACTGATTTGGCAGAGATGATGAAAACTGATGATTATTTCCACTCATATTAGCTATCAGTAGATATACAAAGAGAGTTTTGGAACGGAAATGCTTTACAATATTTTTTTCATGTGTATAGCTCGAGAATTGTGTTAGCGGTGGCATTATCGCCGTTTGAAAAATAACGAGTTGAGCGCGCTTGGAAAGATATGAAAACAATAAGAATTGGGTATTCAAGGTATGTGCAATGTTGAAAAACACATGGGTGCTAACGTAAAATGAAAAACATGGTTGCCATCGAGGTATACAGGGTGTGTGCAGCGTTAAAGAAAAAACATGAAAAATAACATAGCGGCTGCTTGTCGAAAAATCATAAGGTATACAGGGTGTTGTTCAAAAACACATCAATCAAATGCTATACAGGGCATGCAGCGTTGAAGAAAGAAACATGGCTGTCAGCGTAAAAAAAACATGGCTGCCATGGAGTTATTTAGGGTGTGCAGTCGGCATTGCAAATACATTCATTTCTGTCTAGCGCAAATATTCACATCGGTGTATGCAATGTACTTGTTGAATAAGACAATATTCATATGAATAAAATCTTAGTACATCATTTAACACCCACTATGTATAAAATATAGCTCAGTAGTTGTGAACTTGGGAGATATCCGTCCAAGTTTTGAACTACTGAATAGTTCAGATTTATTGAAACAACGATAAAAATAAAATAAAAACTACAATAAAAATTAATTGGCGCTCTAGGGCGACTTCGTTGATTCCAGTGGCGCATTTGCTTTTACAGCTGCAGGAAAACCCGAAAAAACCTGCAGCACCATATCATCTGAAGATCTTGATCTAACAATCTCATCTTTCTCATAAAACGAAATGTAGGGTGTCTCCAGAGGCTCCTACTATATTTGGTGATACGATTATTATGTTTCATTTCCTCACTATTAGCTTTACTAGTGAGTTCACTGTAACGTTTTGCTTTTCATCAAAAGAGAAGGATCGTCTTTTCGGTTTCGTAGCAGTGTCCTTAGGCGTTTTGTTGGGAATCTTCTTTTAGTATTTGAGTCGTAGATCATAGAATGCCTGTTGGAATCTAAATGAGTTTGCAAATGAGACCAATTGATGAAAACAAAAGACAAAACAAACTTACAAATTCTCTAGGTCGAACAAGTTTTCCTTTAGATTTTCAGAAAATGGTGAATGTATTACATTATTTAAGGAAAGTGTCTCGGGATAGCTTACAAATTGTTATTTAAACAATCATTCAAAGTGTGAAACTTCAAAATTCCTCTCCCTAACATTGAGCTCAGAATGTAGTTTCCTGAAATCTCCGAAAAAATATTTCATAGTACCATATGACCATTAATATGTTTGAATTGTATAGTTTCTATGGTAGAAGTTGTGAATGAAATTTATGTGTTACTTATACTTTTTTTCAACCTTCCTTGGCATTTTCACCATACATTATTCAGCTGATCGTTTGTCAGCTGATCTCGTGCTATTTTTCAGGGTTACTAGATTGCTATTTGACTTATTTTTGTGAAAAAGTTGACACAATCAAGATCTTCAGATGATGTGGTGCTGCAGGTTTTTCCCGGTTTTCCTGCAGCTGAAAAAGCAAATGCGCCACTGGAATCAATGAAGTCGCCCCGAAGCGCCAATTAATTTTATTGTTGTTTTTATTTTATTTTTATCGTTGTTTCAATAAAATATAAATTTGGAGTCGTTTACTTTTGTTGATTGCACTTGCCATCGAATATCAAAACGAAAAATTGAAATTCAAAATGAATAATTGAATGTTCTATGAAAGAAAAACAATGAATTAATGAATGTAGCTGTTACTACGTGTTAGGAAATCATAATTAGGAAAATAAAAATGAAAATTTTCACCACTTTTATTTGTAACTAACAATACTGCAGTTTCGTTCTATACAGACATTTTCAAACTTATACAATAAACTCATTGTATAAGTTTGAATGAGTTTATTGTATAAGTTTGAAAATGTCCGTATAGGACAAAACTGCAGTAACGTTAATTACAAATAAAAGCGGTAAAACTTTGAATTTTTTCTTTTCTTCATTAAAAAAGTACAAAATAAATTTATTATTGAAATACCATGTCAAGTAGAATATGTTCTTTATGATATCATGATGCAAACTCCTCAATTTTTCAACTACAGGAATTTAACTTTTTTTAAATTCCTGTTGTAGAAAGCCAAAATCTTTCTTTCCCAAAAATATATCACTCCTAAAAACATAACCCCTTCAATTCAATTATTTGTTATTTTTACTAAACGAATAATGTAGTTTTAGCTTTCAAACTGTGAGAAAAGCATACAACTCGAATTGAAGAACTGCGGTAACAAGTTGGTTCAGCTTGAAATAATTACTTCTAGACTGGATGTTGCCGGAAAAGTAGTTCGATTCAATATGATCTTTGTTGTCTTGATGGATTCAGTTGGTTTATTTCAACAAATCCTATGGTTGAACGTTGAACCTACAAAGCGAACAACGCTACATCAATGATGAATAGAGATGCAAAATTTTGCTCTGTTAACGATCTACAATCAGTGTTGCAAAATAATCAAATAATTTGTTCAATTCATTACACTGGTTAGTTAACCGAGTATTTTTGATTGCTATTGAATTGCCTAATATGTAATGACATAGCAATCCATATTAGTTAAATTCACCATTCCACTTTATTTTTTTGTTAAATTCACTATATTATCATCCAACCAATTTTGACAATGAATTTGAATATGAAATGGCAAAATAACACTTCGAATGAATTAATGATGTCGCCAACCGTTTCCATATAGCGAACAAAAACACAGATAAAATACCGACATCCTTTGATCTTTCCGCCTGTCGACTGAAGATTTCTTTTCTAACAAAAATAATCGCCGCGAACATATAGAAATCAGATAAAAATTCTCGAAATCATTATTTTTGACTCTATTTCGTAGATAAAGACCGTCAATAATATACTGCGACACGTGTTTTGCTATACGATAGCTTTCTGAAGCGTTTTTTCATTTTACGCTTGAAACATTGAAAAACATTTCATTTCCAAAATCTAATTTTTCCTAAAAATGTATCCCCATTCGATCACAAATAACTTATTTTTCAATGATCAACTGAACATTTTGAATTATTATTTGTATAACTTTTGTCTGTGGCTTTAAGTAGGGCCTATTGCAATACATTGGTGAAAACCGCACTCATATCTGTCGAGCCATTTCTGAGATTAGCGTACACAAATTCGCGAAAAAACAGAGCCTTTCATTTCTCATTCCCAGGTTCAAAATTATAGGAGAGTTTTTCATTCATTGGCCCTACTGTTAGTATAACGACACCATCATAGAAAAAAATTTCGACGTCCGTATATGGACGCAGAAACAATAGTGAGATGTCCTAACTTACCTCAGCAGCTGGAATGCCTGGAGGACCCTGAGATCCTGGTGGACCTGGAGGACCTCTGATAGATTCTCCTGGCGGTCCCTAGAAAAAAGAAATGAAATGAAAAACTTTCAATAGTACACACGTAGTAGAACAGTGCAGTTTCTTGAAAAATACCTCATTGGCAATTAGAATAAAATGTGAAAATAATGAGATATTTCAAGCAAATGTACATACATATGCATACAAATGAAACCTTCATCTGAGAGAGATTGTTGATTAGTAACAGCTACATCTCATGATCAAAGCCCCAAGCGGAAAAGAAATATCTCATTCACCAAAACTCTAACAGAAATCAAAAGTGAAAACTATCAAGGAGATATACATACGTATAAAACAATAAATATTTCGAAATGAAATTTCTGGACATTTATCTCTGCCAGCTACCTACACAGTAGTCCATACTTTTGCGTCTAATAACACGCTGGATATCGAATTATATCCCACAGACATTCAAGCAACACAGGTTAGCCTCGCAGATGTTTCTCGTTCATACAGCAGCAGGACCATGCTGAAATTATTCGAGTAGATTACTAGCAGAAAGTGGTTTCGAAGTATTACCTCTCGTCAGTACAGGAAATATCCTACCCAAACAGCAAAGTGCCTTGAGCTCGATTAATTTCAACATGGCTACGCCACATATATGAAACTTTTGTCTACGAAAATAATCTTATTCCGTTACAGCTCCATCTTGTAAATAAAGCCCCAATGATTATTTATGTTTGAGGCACTGTTTAGATATGACATTTGAACCATTAGGCTATGCCTATTTCAATGTTATATTTGGAGGTGATCCTCATGCACTCAAAACCTATGTGATACGAAACGGTGAATCTCCACTTATTGATCGCATCGAATATGTTGAATTCCGGTTTATGGAAATCACAACTTGTTTAATGTAACCCTAAAAGAATTGAAGAAATTCTCAACATAATTGTAATCCTTTTGTGAAGGTATCAGGAAATATTAAAAAATAAACTAGAGAATTCCGAAGAATTTACACTCAATTCAAGCTTGAAAGATAGTGCCATTTCAAAATTCTGGAAAGCTCGACCATACCATTTGATTTAAAGTTAAAAATTGGAAAGGAAATCGATAGTTTGATTGAAAATAATGTTTTGATTTCCGCTGAATACTTAGAATGGACAACTTCTAAATTACTTCAAATCCTCATCTGATCGTTCAGCACTTTCTTTTACCGCACATAAAGTTTTTTTGCACAACTGGAGGGTGGTGAGAAGTTTTCAAAAATGTATCTGTGTTGGGCTTCTCTGCAAGAATTTTTGTTTGAAGATTACCATAAATCGTTCAAAATAGGCAACACATGAGGGTTTTTTCATACAACATTCTTTCGTATGGCATTGTCAGTGCGCTTGCCATTCTCTAGAAAATAATGGATGGAGAGTTCAGAACATACCTGGAGTCGTTTGCCTTTTGGACAATATTCTCGTAACTGGAAAAAAAAACAAGAACATTTTGAACGTTTGGATTGAGTTTTCCATCGGTTACGGGTATGTGGATTGAAAGTGAAGAAGGAAAAATGTTTTTAATTCAAAAACTCTGCTACCTACTTGAGTTATGTGATTGATGAAGAGGAGCTCCTTGCCTCTGAAGATAAAATTTCAACAATGAAATTCATTCCAATTCAAAAAAATATAACTGAACTCGAATATTTTTTGGGTACGTTGAACTTTTACTGTAAATTTCTTCTCAGTATTCCAGAAAGAAAGGAAATGAGTGGGTAAGCATTTGCCCCACCTTTGCTAAACGTGTCACAAACCAATACTTTGTCGTAAGAAGGGACATCAAATGTATATAGTAAACCATCTGCAGTTTTGACTTCCTATAAAGTGTGGAGAATGAGGTGATATCCTTTCAATTCAAATGTTTAATTTCTGAAGTATTCAGATTGAAAAATGAATTTGAATTGTGTCAGACAGTCGATCCTACTTTGAATGAATTGATCAGATTGATGTCCTTGGAAAAAACTTATTCCGTTTTTTATTAGAAAAAATGAGATTTCCACCGCGCAAAACTGTTAAATGTAGGGATATCGTTTGTTTGTACCAAATAAATTTAGGGAGAGTATTTTGAAAGAGCTCCATAGATCACACATGGAAATTGTTAAAATGAAGGGTTCAGCATGTTTATATTTTTGATGGCTCTTCACAGTAATTCTATTGCAAAAACCTATAATGCTTGTAAAGTACATCAAATAATCCACCAAAATCCATTTCAGTCACTTAGGATTGACCTAAGGAACCTTGGACTAGAATCCATATTGATATTTTTGATACAGTCTTGGCAAATCCGCAAACAGGAGATTCGAGCCTTCCCCCACCACTGTGGAGGTGGGGGAAGAAGAAATTAAAAAAAACCGCAATATGAAGATACTCTTATTGAAAATGAACAAGCAAATCAAGAAACTAATGGAGAAATCAAGCAACGTCCAGTAAGTGATACTAATGATTGTCGAAATGAATCAATAAACGTAGAAAACGTATCCAAGCAACCAGCAAACAGGTACTCTTTACGAGAACGGAAACTGCCAGAAAAATTCAATGATAATGCCATGCAAGCTGTCATGATAATGGAGGCAGTTAACGAACCCAAAAATGTTCATGAAGCTCTCAATAGAAGTTATTCTGAGCAATGGATAAGAGAGGTGCAAGAAGAATATTCTTCTCTAGTAAAAAATAAAACCTTGGAGCTCGTAATTCTTCCCGAAAACAGAAAACGAATAACATGTAAATGGACTTTCAAAACAAAAGAAATTGGAGATGGAAAAGTATTAAAATACAAAGCTCGTCTTGTCGCCAAAGGATATTCCCAAATTTAACGTTTGGATTTTGAATAAACATTTTATTCCATTGTTCAAGGTACAACACTCCGTTTTTTGTTAGCATTGGCAGTTTTGAATAACTGGAATATTCATCAAATGGATGTTGTGACGGCATTCCTTCAATCAGAATTATTAGATGACGAAATATACATGGAGCAGCCTGAAGGTATTGAAGAGAAATGCGACGGAATCAAGAAAGTGTGTAGACTACGAAAAGCATTGTACGGCCTAAAACAGTCCAGCCGTCTTTGGAATCAAAAATTGGATAAAGAAATGAAAAGCATTGGTTAACATCAAGCTAATTTTGACGTTTGTGTGTATTATCATTTCGAAAAGGAAAAATCCATAATAAGATCCATTTATGTTGATGACCTCCTCTTATTTTCAAATGACAATGACACACATAATTGGTTTAAAGAAGAACTTATGAAAAAGTTGGTAAATTTGCGTTTTGAGGACACCCGGCGATTTTGAAAAAATTTTTAGTGGTGTATTACGAATTCGAAATAGTAGGCGGCGGCAAATACCAACCGCTTTTTTCCGAAATGTCACTAGTAATACAAATTGTTTCAATATTCCTGATGCCTTTGGCCGTCTGTGGTATGAGACTTTGCTAGCCAATCTTCGATGCTATGGATTATCAGATCATTTTTGTGTATGGCTGTTTAACTCCATGAAAGAACGTTCCCTGCAAATGGCCGTCGATGGATATCTCTCTGATACTTTAACTATCTACGCTGGTGTTCCACAGGGATCCATGTCACAAACCCTCTTTTTATTGTATATCAACGACTTATTGGAAAAAACCAATAATCCAATTTATTGCTTTGCTGACTTCAGCACACTTGTCTCATCATTTACATTTGGATTCCAGAACATCAGCTACGGAGGCATACTTCACCGGCAGTTTAATATCTCAATGAGGAACTATAAGTAATTTCGAATTGTGGTGAAAGTAAACAGGTTCAATTCAATGCCACAAAAACCCAGGCATCGGTGTTTTCCAAAATGATGAATTTTTCCGAACCGAATATAATAATGTCAGGTCAGACAATTCTGCTCTCTGCTTCGATTGTTAGGGATTGAAATGGATTTTATGATTGATTCGGCCGTTATTTGATGAAGATCCATAATAATTTCATAAACTACACCTCACGATTTGATCTCCACAAAGTTTGTGGAGATCAAATCGTGTGGTGTAGTTCATGAGATTAAAATGGACACCAATATGTCTTGGCACGAACATGTCACTGGAATTGCAAAGATTGCTTCTCAAAGACTTGGAAAACTATTCCAATCCAGAAATCTGTACACATTCCAGCAACTTTTGATGCTTTGAAAAGCTCAGATCAGACCTTCTTTGGAGTATTGTTTTCATGTATGGAGTTCCGCCCCTAAACATTCCCTGAAGCTGCTGGATTTCATCCAGAAAGGGGCTATCCGCCTGACTGGAATATCACTTGCAAACTTGATGGTCGGAAACATCGAAGAAAAATTGGAAAATTGTATCTCTTCTATAAATATTTTTACCAAAAGTGTTCAAGGGACTTGGCACATTTGATTCCACCGAGAACGGTACATATCAAAAATACGCGATGGAGTGTGGCTGCTGATCGTTTTCAGGCTCAACTCAGTTCACCTCAAAGTTCCCTGTATGAGAACTCTTTCATTTGGAGAACGGCGTTTATGTGGAATGAACGTTTTTCCAAACGGATTTGATTTCTGGCGATTCAAATCCATTGTCAATCACTACTATCGTAAAGGCACTGCTTTAAGAGCGCTTCCAGGTTTTTCTTTAGTGCTTGTGTTTTGTCATTGAAAAAAAAACTGCAAATTGCAATATTCAAATATCTTTGAGAAAATCAATTCAAAGATATTATTTCTCATAGAGGAAATATTTTTTGGGTTCCTAACCTTCCACAATATGAAAAATGTATGGATATGAATCAACAGAGGATATGCTAAATTGTAATACATACTGAAAAGATCACCTCGGAAAAGTACTGCGCAATATAAAACTTTGGAGAGTCCAATCAGTTGGTAACTTGTATTCATGAATTGTGCACGTGAATAAGGGCAATAATTGAAAAAAAAATTCATACTCATCTTTTCTAATGTGGCTAACGTTTTGAAAACAATATTTCAAAACCTGCAAAAATTCTATTGAATAAAACTTATTTGAGAAAATCTGTATTGCTTTTGAAAAAATCCTCTTCCTATTTCTGGAAAACACTTTTTTGTTAATTTCATCACTTGAAATATACCAAATCCGTTTACTCTTTGCCAACCATTTATTTTTCATAAAATTTATTCGTCAGTATCCATTGAATATAGATAATCGTCGATATGAAATTATTGAATTATTATATTCGTGACGACTCAAGAAGCTTGAAGTGTGGTTGCATTAAAATTCTTGACAAATTGTGTACGAATAGAAAAACATATGACTCCAAAGTTTATCATATGTATTCATTCAGGCTCAATTCATTGACTTCACTAAACGCGTCAAACACTTGTCTGAATTTTTACGGTTCATTTGGATAATCAACTCCGAGAAATCAGGAAGGTATCAAGTCCTTAGATTTCTTGGTTTAGGTTTTTCTAGGAACCTCCTATCGAATCCCATTTCGAGTCAGCTTATAATATTTGAATTCTCCATAATTTTCTCATGCACAAAATTCAACCTTTGAATTAGTTAAATGTGATGTCTGGTATTCCAATTTACGATGAAGACCAGTTCAATACATTACTACTCCAATTCTTCTTGAGGTTGTTTGCATCGTCTTCAACGTTTCTTTATCTTTGTTTANCCGTTGAGTTATCGTCATGTCACTTCCTCTTGACTAACTGATCCGAATATCTTGATTCTCTCATAATTTTATATTTCATTTCGTTCTCGAACTGCAAGTGACATATTCTATGTAATTTTGTGCTAAATAATGTTAGTAAGAAATAATTTCGATGAATTGTGTTAATATTGGAGTGCTTATATTTCCTCTCGGTTCAACAAAGTTCAAAACGGTTAAATTTGACAATTGTTGCAAAATTAATATGTTGTGACTTTCAATTGCGCAGATTTGTATGGCATTGCTCTCCTTAAATAATTCAAATGCCGTCTCCATTTCAATTATATGTTTCTTTTCTACAATTTTTATATACAAACATGATTTGTATTAACGGATAAACTTACCTTTGGTCCACGGTCTCCTTTCTCTCCTTTATATCGTCCGGCCACTTTTCCATCATCATTGGAAACAATATTACAACAGTTTCCGCTATCACATAAACATTTCTTACCATCTGGAGGTGGTGGAGGTGGAGGAAACACTCCCAATTCATCGCTGCCGCTGCCTTCTTTAGAAGATCCATCGAAATCGTTCTTTTCCATCTAAAAAGTAATATTCGTTTAGTGAAGTTAAGTGAGATCATTTTTGGAGCTTTCCATTAGTGGACACCTCTTTGTTTGGTATTATATTGAGAATGAAATGATGTGAGGAGTTTTCTCAAATATTTACTTCGAATCGGGAAAATGAAGTAAAGAGCTTCATCTACTCAACTTGTTATTTTCAAAAATTGAACAGTTTACCTGGATAGCCGTCATAATGAATGTAATCAAGTTGATTATATAAAATATGAACCCATTTTATATAGGTGTACATCTTAATTTCAATCATATTACAGGGTATGAATATTTGATGACAAATTTTCTTTCGACAACAATTTGTGATCTCAATGTAGGATGTGAATGTGGATAGCATGTGCATGACTAATATCAGATATCTGAAAATTATGACATCATTAACATCAATCCGCCAATTTTGTAAAAATGTTTCATCAATATTCAATTTTCAATTGTAAAACTCAGATTACTTGTGAGTATTGTCCATTTTTTTATTTTTTTTTCTATTGCATGTCATTTCAGTGTCCTGACGAAGTCTCTATTCTGAAACGAAAGATTGGCGATTTGTGAAATAGAGTAAGTTTGTTTTTTGAACGTGTTTGACTGATAGTACCAGCAACGACTACCCTTTATATATATATATATATAGTTAAATGTGATGTCTGGTATTC